CTGATGACAAAAGAGGCCAGATGTTCAGACCCTTTTATACAGGTATTCAGAAATGCTTTGACAAAACCAATGATTTGGCTTCATCTGTACAAGAGGATCTCCATGACAATAACCTGAGGGAGTGATTAGAGCAGAGAAAAAGGTGGAATCTTTCCAAGCATGCATTGTTACTAATCCTTCTCCAGAAAGAAATAAATCATCCCACACTCATTAGAAAGCCTGCTATTGCATGTTTCTCCCCTGTTTTTCTGGGCGCAGACTTTTCTACCTGAAATCATAAACCCACTATAATTTGAAGAAGAAACGCTATGGCACTAAAAGACTGTGAAAGGTGCCAGCACAGTGAAAATAGAAGCAGCTTTGGGTTTCAACTTTGTGCACAGTTCAGACTGGGTAAATTCCCGTGTATGAAATCCACAGCCACTCTTCCACATTCTTCGTGTCCTGGCTTCCCTCCCCCACCAGCCCTGCATCACAGAAACAACCAACTATGAACATTTCCCAGCTCACTAACATTTGTCTTAGCCATTCAGCAGTTTCTGCCAGGATTCTCCTCCTCCTTTACACCCTGTGAATTAATTCTGCTTGCAGCAGCACTAATGCAAGCTGTGGGCTTGTTTTTTTCCCCTCCCCAATGTGAGTAAATCATCATTGCTTAAGAACAGTAAATGGCATTGAATTGACTTGCCTTTCTAGATGCAAAGATCCTTCTTCCCTCCACATGGCAAAATTATGCTGAGCCCCTCAGTCCATTCCCCTCATCTTTGCTTTCCCAGATTGCATTCCAGGAGAACATGTGACTCCATACAAAGATATAAAGCAGATCTTTCATCATTGAAGGGAAGCAGAGATGTTTACTTCTACAGTCTGATACAGATATCTAGTTGAAGCCAGCAGATGACTTAGGAGGATCCAGCCACTTCAGCGAGATCTCTGAGAAACTTCAGTTCCGTGCCTCAGAGAAACTTCAAACCTGTTCCGTGCCTCAGAGCAGATTGAGCCAGCAGGGCTCCACAGTTGGCACCATCTGCAAGACCCTACTCGGCCCGTTCCTGTAGACACCTCCCTCCCCACTTTCAGAGCCCAGCTGCTGCACCTCTCTGGTCACAGGTTTCTGTTCAGTTGCACCACTTTCCCATGCTTTTAAGGCTGGGGTGGGAGGGTGTTAAAATTCAAAAGCTCCCCTCCTCTCGTTTCACAGCAGAGACTAAATATATTCCTTCTGTCGGAATGTCCCCTGTTTGCTGACCCCTTGCACAGCTACTGTAGTCATTCTGCCCTTATAGCTTCTCCAAGGCACTGGCTTTCCTTCTCCCCAGGTTTTCACTGCCAGGTTAAATTCTGTGTGGACAACCAACCTTGTTCAAACAAAGACTGGCATTTGGTGACCTCCCTGAACCATCTCAGGAAGGTCCCATGGCAGCTGAGCTAAAGATGACTTCTTATTCCATTTAAAAATAAGTCTTTTTGCAAAAATCAACTCTCAAAGGAGTGCAGTACAAACCTTGCTCTTTTTCAGCTAGGAAGGAGTAAGAGTATCTATCTGTGTATAGAAGCAAAGCTGGTCAGGTCAACTCAACGTGTTAGACACCCCTGCAGCCCACAGACACTATAAAGGGGATGGCAGAAGAAAAACTCACACATATTAGATCACTTAGTGAGAGTTGTGTTTCCTTACCAGTCGTGACTTCTGCTAGTTTATCAAACTTGAAAGCTACCTATCATGCACTGCCACTACAGAAGTACAGTATTTTGCAACAAGAGGAATATAAATAGGTCAAAACCTGTAAAAACACATTAGCTTCCTAGATGGCAAAGTCCCAGGAAAGAGATTATGCTATTAAACAGTTGTCACAGATGGAGGCCCAGGTTTTCGGAAGCAATTTGGGATTAGCTTCTAGGCGCCTGAATAAGAAAGTTAGAAAGAAAATTTGAAAACTGCTTTTAAGAAGATGCATACTAAAAGCTAAAGATGGATGTTAAGAAATGGAGCTATGCCAGACTGCTAGCCATAATGAAGAAAACAAAAGATGGCCACCCAAAAGCAAGAGAGCATTCTACATTCCTCTAGTGTGGCACCAGAGGAAGTCTTTCAGAAAATTTAAAAATTAATTTCTGCATGTGGACTGATTCATTATCAAATATGCAAAAAGAACTTGTATCTGTCTATAGCTTTATGATGTTATGCAGCCACATTATTTTTGGCAGAAGAGGTAATTTAAATCCTTCAGGAAACATTATCCTCTTGATATAAACACATAACTCAGATTAATAGGATTTGTTTATGTATAGCAGTAGGGAGAATAACCCTGAGTTTGGAAAACTGCTTTGTCTTTTAATCAGTTTGGGAAGAACAGCAAAAAATATATACTGAGGACAAGTAATTGAAGAGCATTTGTTAACTCCTACTAAGTAATAATTGTGAGTTAATTGATAAATATTTAGAAACAGACAAACCATAATACTTTGGACAAAAAAAAAAAAGCAAAACTGTAAGAATGTTCTAAAGAGAAGGGCTGGTAGAATATGCACTGTTAATCACCTATAATTTTTATTTTTTTTAAACAGTCTGGACCAAATCTGTGCTATCCCCAAACTGTATAATTGACTCTGTACGCAATTTCTCAGTTGCTCAACAATACAGATATTAGCAGTAATGGTATAATTATAACCTACAGCTTAAGTAGATAAAAAACTGCTAGTTCTTAACCAGTGACTGTAATTAAGATTGGAGAAGGGTAGTATTCACTACATCTGCTTAGTATCCAATTTTATTAATGAAACGTAAGTTCCAATACAGCAACGCAGCTGTGTGCTACATACCATCCCTGACCATATCCTGAAAGGAGACAATGAGGGGGCAATGCAACCCAACTTGTAGCAGCTGTAGGAAAAAATAAAAACAAAAAAACCACCACAGCTCTGTAAGTAGTGGTTGAGCACCAGCTGTAGACACGGGATGCATGAAAAGGAAAGCAAGCAATAATCACATAAAGGAAGAAGTTATTTCCTGTGCCCCAAGTATCACTTTACTTTCAGGCGGGTCAAGGAAAAAGCACTGCTTCCTCTCCAGCACCTTCCCCGGCACAGGCAGAGGAAGAGGCAGAAGCCCCGTGGGGCCAACCCAATGCCTGGGGATGGCAGCAAGGCTAGGGACAGCGCCAATTCAGCACTATGGGCGGCGGACAGTGCCCACGGGGAAACTGACGAAATTGGGGGGTTCACACCCCAAAAATGGGGCAAAAAAAAAATCACCCTGTGGCTGCCTGGCGGAATTCACCAACTCAGGCTTTCTGAGCAGCGAAAGCAAAAGCTGAGGAATGAAGCAGGCACCACTGGCATGTTTCACTCGCTTTGGCTCACTTGCTCAGTACTGGTTGCTAAGCAAAAATTATTTTTTTTAAAAGCTCAAAACTACTCACTGCCAGATGGATTAATGAAAACACACACTTGCACTGCTTAAAACACTTTTCATTTATGTATCTTGATATGCCAATACTACTTTCTTCAATTATTTCTTTGAAAGGAATACCGGGTTTGGAAGTAAAGACAAATTTGAGCTAGCAGGGGAAAGGGGAGGAACAGGAAGAAGCTAAGTGTAATTATCAAAGTTTCCAGTGGATTGCAGGAAAGGGGTACCGAGGGACTTGCATGTCCTCAGGAACTTGTAGTAAAAACAGCATGCCCAGCTCAGCATAGAGATGTGAAGCACCAGGTGACCTGAAGGTGTCTTGCTCTTAACTTGTTTATATATTTTTAACTACATGACATAACATTACCTGTGACAGCACAAGCCAGCTCAGGGTTATTTCAGCAATCAAACAACCATACACAGCCTCATGTGATTTACACCTTACTTGCAGTGCTGCTTTCTGTTTGCACTCCCAGTACTTCAGGCCTGAAAGCTGGCATCTCACCCTGCACTCCAGCCTGTGCCCTGAAATGGCACCCAACTTACCTATAGCTTGGTGTTTTTTTTAAGAAGCCATGGTCAGAAAGAAATAACAACCCACTGTACGATGTAGCCAACTGCTCTGTTGATGGTAAAACCAAACCATGTATTACCCATTACCAAGGGTATAACTACATTGAGGATGACAGGAGGGGGAGGGGAATCCATTCCATCACCAAATGGAGGAGAAAACACATCTCCATCACCTCCAACTTTCAGCTGGATGAAAGGAGGGAGGAGGGATGGGGAAGGCTGCAGCATGGCAAGCAGCAGCTCTGAGGCAGCTCTTTTCCCCTCTCTGCTGGCAGGCTCAGCTGAAGAAGGGGTGGCACCACAGGGTATTACACAGTTATGTCTGTTTGCTGCTGGGACAGGAGAGAGGCAGCCGTGGGGCTTCCTGGCTATTGATCCTCACTCCCACCCCTCCAAACAGAGGAAGTGTGGTGTGGTGCAGAAACCCAACAGAAAGTACTTTATTTTCCTCTGTTTTGGAGAGCAAATGAGCTCTGGTGTAGTTTGCTGTTTACAGAGCCCATAAGGGAAGAGAAGGTCAGGCAAGGAGGGAAAACAACAGGCCTGGCAGGAAAGGCAGAGGACAGTCACCACGTGTGGCATGAACAGGAGGGGACAGCCGAAATCCCAAAGGCGCCATGAGGAAGATGCAGCTGAGAGGACGGTGCAGCAGTGGAGAAGGGGGACAGGAAGGCTGGGCAGGGAGGCTAGTCCCGAGGCCTGTGAGCATAGATGTGGAAATTTAGGCAGCTGGCAAGGCAGACCGGAGAGCGGCCAGCAGAGACAATGGCAGACTTGGGGAGCCAGGGCAGCCAAGGAGAGCTGCACCCTCCAGGGCCAACCTCATCACGCAGAGGGGATGAAGCGGAGGCAAGGCTGCCCGGCTGGGGTGGGCGAGCAGGGCAGGACCCCGAGCCCCGCGGGGATGCCCGGGTGGGCGGCTGGGGCTGGGGGCACACGCAGGTGCGAAGCAGCCGCTCCGGGGGAGCTCGGTGGTGCCCCCTGTCCCCAAGCCCCTGGCCTCGAGGTCGCTCACCTGCCTCGAGGTTGAAGGAGATGCGGGCCTCGGCGAGGTAGGGAGTGTCGCTCTTGGAGCGGACGCGGCGGATGGGTCTGCGGTCGATGTCCTCCTCGGAAGATGCCGCCATTAATGTGGGCACGGTGAGCAGCGTGGCTCGGCGAGCTGGCGAGGGCGAGCGGGCGGCAGCGGGCAGCGCAGCGGGGCCGGAGGGGAGGAGAGGGGAGGGGAGGGGAAGGGGCGGCGGGGTTGGGGGGGAGAGGATGGGGAAGGAGAGAGGGAGAAAGGAGCGGAGGGAGGGAGGGAGGGGGAGAGAGAGAGGGAAAACCCGTCAAGGATCCACGGACGGGAGTGGAGGCCCTACCCGCTGCCCCCCCGCCCCCGGGAGGACAGCTCCTCCACGGGGGGAGGCCGGCCATGCAAGCTTCCCCCCTCCCCCGGCACTGCCCGGCACACCCCGGCCCTGCCCGACCCCCCCCCGAGCACCCCCGCCTGGCCCGCGTGCCCCCCACCGCCCCAGCTGCCCCCCGAGCCCCATAGGGAGGCCGCGGCTTGTGGGGTCATCCCTCGCCCCTTTCTCCCCTAAGCGGGGGTTTCTAACCTAGGCCAGGTGCCCGAAGCGAGGCAGAAGGGCCAAGAAGTTTGCAGAAACAGGCAATCTGTCCTGGCGTTTTGAAGCACCAACCTGGTTGAGGTGCCCTGTGCAGCATTTTTTTTTGAATGTCCTTCCCGTACAGATGGGCACTCCGTGCTTCAGTCGTGCAGGCAGGTGTGTTTGAAAACCCACCTTTGTCTTCTCTATTTAATAGCTTCCGATAAACGTGTTAATTCTCTTCACGTGGATGTAGGCTGCCTGCCCCATTAGGGCACCAGTGTCAAATGGAAGCTCTAGATGTTAATGTAGGTGAAATTATTTAAAATGCTACTTTTCAAAAATGCTACATAAAGTGTTAAACACTTAAGAATGTATTCCAGTGAGTGTAGCAGTTCATCTTATCTCATTATTTTTTTATTATTATTTTATTTTTAACAGGAACACAGTCACTTAAGGTCAGTGAGTTGTCAGTATCTCAGAAATCTTTTGTTTTGGTCAGCTGCAATATCAAACGGAGCAGTGAATGCCAGGGGCTCAGCAACTCTGCAAGCAGCCATAGTGGCATTCACAGTTAGGAATTTTGCGAACAGCTTTCTCACTCATTCCTGCAAGATCAGCACTTTCCAGCCACCTTTCTGCCAATTGAACTGGTAGCTGTTTGGGGGTGTGCCAGATATTTTTCCATGGTTGTACTATTAGGTTTACCTGAAGTTTGCTGTTAGGACTAATCCCTTCATACAACTTTACAGGAACTTTCATGTTTCTGGATGACCAGAGTGGATGACATAAGATCTTGCTTGCAAAGCCATCCTCTTTGCTTTGATGTTACTAGCATAACCCAGCTAATGCAGGGGGAAATGTCCTTTGTTAATAGAAATGCAGGTGTTCACGGCAAAACAGCTGTGACATCCCTGGACCTCTGGTGAACCACCACACTACTGGCAAGCAAGGAGGTACCATCCAGTCCATGTGCATCTCAAAATAAATAAATAAATAAAAATCCAGCAAAACCAGCATAGGCTGTTTGGGGAAGGGATAGTCTTACATGTGTCAAGGTTGAAGCAGATCCTAGCTTCTTCTAAGTATGGGGTGTCACTCTTAGACCGCAGTCTTCTAATGGGTCTCCGGTCTATGTCCTCCTCAGAAGAAGCCGACATCAGTGTGGGCACAGTGAGAAGAGTTGCCCGACGAGCTGATAAGAAAGAATGAACGAATGAAGAAGACGATAGAAGAAGAAAAGAGAAAATGAAAAGGGGAAAAAGGGTAAGGAACAAAAAATAATAATAAAAAAATAATTAAAAAAAATTGTTCAATGGAAATGAGAATCTGTAATACGTGGTAGATGAGGCTGTTTGCTGTGAGGTCCCTGCCTCACATGCTGCAGAATTTATGTTCTGCACCAAGTAATACAAAGAGCACAAAAGACTGATGCACTGTGTCCCCCCAAGACATAAGTAATACCCCTGTTTCGGACACGGATTTCCTCTTCACGGTTTGCTAGTTTTGCATCTTGCATCACTCTTCACAACTTGTCAACAGCCACAGTCCCTCCTTTTCTGAATACTGTGTTTGATACAGTGATATCTGAGTATCACTGAGGAAGTTAGTTAAGTGTTCATTTAGTTTGCAGAAATTAGAGGGAGCTATGCTTGGAACACATGAAATGATGTGTACAACAGCTATCCAAAAACTCAATTTCTTGGTGTCTTAATTTGGGCACTCAAAATTAACAGCTAATTTTTGTTCTTGATCACTCCACGTCTTAGTGTCTTAATTATGAATTGGGGAGAATCATTATTTTCTTTCAGTGGGTATTTTCTAAAAATATAAATTCATTAATATTTGTAAAGTATTCATGTATTTTAGTGAAGCACCAATGAAAACCCCATGAGCAAATTAATATTTCTATCTTCTCAACAGGCTCTAAGTGGCTTGGGGCCATGTCTTCAAGGAGGAGAAAGCAAAATATTTAATATTGCCTCATTTATTGAGTGCTGCCCACTGATGAAGCAAGTGGTAGGAGAGTAAAAAATTACAGTGTCATCATGCAATTAGAAATTGTACCATAATACATATGGATTTAGAGGCTGAATTAATGTTGTGGAAGGAACCTTCATTCTGGCATTGCATAAGTATTCGGCACTTGACCTTACAGCCTTGATAACGTCCCTTCAATGCAGGTGTTTTTTATGTGAAATGTAATGAGTGTCTGTTGATTGCTTTGGAAACTGAGCCTATAAATTACAAATCACAAACAGAAAAGCCCTATCAATATATCCACCTGACTAGAAAAAGGTTGTCACAAACACTGGGCAGGATCTGGCTGATCACTGAAAGCTTGAGTACCATGCACAAGTACCCTGCCAGTATGCTGCTCGTCCCTCTACCCCATACAGAGTTGGAAAGAGAATTTCTACTGAAAGCCCATCCTTACCCTTGATGTGGGTCTATTAACATTATTGTGGGGCTCTGTAAGAGCCTATACTTCCTTAGATAAGAAGGTGCAGTAAAATCTAGGGCTTAAGAATTTCAAACCATCACATGCTATCCTTTTATTATGACATGGACTTTCAGAGAGCTGGTTTCAGCTCTGGTCTTCCACATGCACACACATACATGCCCAAAAATCAGACCTGGCATGCCTTTGTGTTCAACCTTAAGAAGAGTCTAAACCATGGATATTTCTCATGGTTTGGGCATCATCTGGCACAAGTCCTTATCTCGGGGCTTTTGTAAGTCACCACACTTCAAATAGCTAATAATGAACTCTATTTTTCTGCTGGGAATGGAGAGCACAACTGATGGTGACTAAGAGCAAATTTTGCAGCCTTGTAACTGCAATTCTTGCTTTAAAAAGTTTTTGAGAGTTCCAAATAATATCTGTCAACCAGAAGCCTTCAGATGCTTAAACCCTGAGTTAGGTGTTAGATAAGATAGCATATAATTAATATGATTTAACAAAAGCTGTCACACTGTATTTTTCAAATTGCAGAATTACATAGTTTACCAAACAGGAAAATCTGTGCTGCTGGGGGTAGCAGTTATTTCTGGTCTAATTTATTTGTTTTCTGGTTTTAAATAGATTTCTTTCAAGTTTTTGCTCCCTCCTAACACAGCATCTGAATTTGAAGTAAAAGCATAGGGCAAGAGTTGAATTTGATTTAATGAGGTCAGCTATTTAGATTAAGCTAAAGTAAACACTGCTATTAGACTGTAAACTATTACTCCATTGTAGCAGGGATGTACAATAATGAAGATGAAAGAGAATAGAAAATTTCTGCCAGGGAGAATTTTGTATACTGCATCATCAAATGTATACCAAAGGAATATTTATCTGTATATGAAGTCAACATTGCAAAAAGCATCTCATAAAAGTACCATGTAAAAGATTTGTCCTTTAAAACTGGTATGATCTAGCTATAGTTAAAGTCAGTGAAAGGCCACCCATGCACTTCAGGGGTGGCTGGATCACAGCACAGGAGACTATTCAGAAAAATAAACAAACAAACAAACAAACAAAAAACAACACCAAATTGCATACACATTTATTGAACACACAAGATAAGTGAGTTTTTCTGTATTCATTTATAAATCATATTTTACCTTTTGGGTCAAAACACTGGGATCTGGTCTGTACGCATTTTGACTAGAGGTAGGTGGATGTTGGAAAATATTTCCTGGAGTATTATTTGCATATTATTTTGACAACCATGATTATCTCCCCTTTATGTATATTATCAACTGCTTTCAAGAATGCCTGGAAATTTTAAATAAACATTGGAACATTTTCAGAGGGAGCTAACGTGTTGGTGTTTTTTTGGCAATAAAAAACTAAGATCAATTATTTCACATCTGTGGAACAGGAAGGTATAATTGATCACATTCAAATATCCATATGGTGACACTGAATATACATGAATGGCATGAATATACCGCCTGTACACACTTTTCCTTATGACCCTGTGTCCATCACTGACAACCAACCAGTTTCTCTAGCTTGAGAAACTTTCCACAAATGAGTTCAGCGTCTGCTACACATTTTTAGGAGATGGCTTTTCAGGAAAACTAGGAAATATCCCCTTGAAGGTGCTGGAGTACAGGAATGACATTATGATACATGTTAAGGGGCCCTCTTATGCTGCAAATGGATTTGAAAGCAGTGTCAGAAAACTCATTTCAAACAGCCGGTCTAGCATTGCACAGAACACAACTTAGTCATTTTGGTTAAATTGTTTTGTTCCATTTGCATTGTTCCTGATGTGATAGGGTTATGTTACTATCAGTAGGTTTTGCCAACATCAAGTTTGGTATTTGTTAGAAAGAGAAAAGAAGGTAGCTAATGGAGGAAAAAAAAATAATAAAAATGCTGTAATATATGTAATGACGCTAGAATTGATTGCATATAATCTCATATTTGTTGTCTCAAAACACTGTATGTTATTGAAGTATGACATAAGTATGCATTTGGGAGAGGGGAATGGAAAATACATGAAGGATTGTAAGTGTATGTTTAGAGACCTTTAAAACATGTAATTTCAATATGTTTAGTTACATCTGAAGGTGGTCCAATTTCTGAATACTGTTTGAAATTACCAAAAACATGGGGGACAGTTTGCAAAGAATTATTGGTGGTTTCTGTTTTTTCCATTAAAATACTTTTTCACATATTTTAATACAAATATTAGTACTAATTTTGATTGCCAAGAACTAGCTTTATGCTTTGAAAAGTTATATTTTTTAAGACTAATGTTTTTAGAAGAAATTTGGACATTTTTAATCAGAAAAATTTCTGAGGTGGAAAGTCATCCTCTTAAAATTCTTTAAAGAAAATGTGAAATATTCATCTAGATTTTCTTGTCCACTTTTATTAATCAACTTTTACTGAAATGTTTTAAAAACATCTTATTGGTAATACAAGTACCCTAGTCATTTTTTGCTTAATAATTTCTTCATCTAGAAACTCTAGTTTACATAACAGTTTCTCACCTCTAAATGGCAAAACAAACAAAACAAAACAAAACAAAAAACACCACCTCTTGAGACCTGATGTTTTTAATCTTGCTACAAGCAAAGTGCTAAGATGTTTCTGCTGGAGATGCCTAGACCTAGATGTGTTGGAAAGGCTATCTTTCTTTGTATATAACCACGAGTAACTTCAGATAGCGCACAAATAGCTGTAAAAGAATATTGGCTTCACAACAGAAATCTTAAAGAGCAAAAACTCATTTCTCAGAGCAAATTTTGAACAAGTTGGTAAAATACCTGTTAAAACATTTTAATTGCAGTGCTGCTATTGCTGACTGAGTAGGATTTTTTCTTGCTACTTATTTTCATTAGGGAAGGATATGAGTTTCTGGTTTGATTTACTGCATTCTGCTGGCATCCTCTGCTCTTTCAGTTTTCCTCCTTCATGCTTTGGTGGAAAGGGCTCACTATAGCATCACATGTAAATAATTCACACAGAAATGCATTTTTGGCTACATATGAGCTTTAAAAATGTTGGTTCCCATAGGTTTTGATGTATCTAGAACATGATATTCTACCTGTGCTAAAATATTTCTAGTTTGTGAGTGTTTGTTAAAGACAATCAGACAGTGGGTCCAAATGGATGCTTACCAGAAAAAGAAAATCTCGTGGGCTGATTTAATGCCACTTCACTTTTGTCTTGTTTTAAATTTAAGTGCTAAAGAACAACATTTGAAGGAGTAGAGATGTGAAATAGGGTTTGACTGGCAGGAGAGGGAAACAGTAGAACATGTGTGCAAGCACTGGAGAGGACATAATTTGGTATTTATGATGAATGATTTATAGGTTTTTGTCTCCCGGATAAACAGAGAAAGAAGTACATGCATATGGATTGTTGTCTCTCTCTAAAGTGAAGCTGTTGAGATCTTTGACACCAGTTTGATGGACACCAGTAATCTGAAAAAAGTACTCAGATATGTGGTTGCAAGAAATAGATCATAGGGCAAAAGACATCCACTTTGATGCACATGCTCGTTATGCTGGTTTGTGATATTTAGTAAGTTTATGCATAATATGCCTACTTAGCATCTGTTGTACATTTTAGAGGAAATGTGCTTGTCCTTCTTTGAATCCAAAGGCATAGGCTAAAGAAAGCAGAAGATATGTATGTATCTTAAAAGAAAGAAGGAAAAAAAGGAAAGAAAGAGAGAGAGAAAGGGAAGGGCA